AAATAAGAGAAGGAAAACAACGATCTGAGTTATTCTGCAGAGGGAGGTGTGTGGGTCTTTTAATAGTTTGCTAATGGCTATTCAGCGTGTTGTTCGAAGCTGAGAAGTCAAATAACATCAGCTGTGTGGAATAAGGACTGTGGGCAAGAAGTGCTCTTATTGATAACTGATTCAGAGGAGTCAGGAGTTTGGGAGGGCTCAGAGTCGGGAGAATGGCTCTCAAAAACAGGTCCTGGTGTATTGTGTCAGAGCGATGTGAGCGTTTTAAGAAGACCCAAACTATTAAGTGGTCATTGTGATTGATTTCATTCACAGTTGGATTAAGGACGGAGAAAGCGGTAGGACATTCCATTATTTATTTGGTAATGTATCGGGGGCATTTGGCAAATTGCGAGACCTAAATAAATAGTTTTGACTTCATGTTCAATAGTTTAAATTTGTATCCAGCGCCTGTTATCCGAGTATATGTTAAACAGTCTTTTCCTATAAGTTAGATAACAAGATTGAGATGTCACTGTCTCTTTATGTGTTATTTGAGTTCACCTGTAACGCTCTAGGTTCATAATTTTTACTACTTTTTACAGTAAATATCCAAGTATAACAATACCGAAACTCAACGGTTTACTCATCCCAAATAAGTACAACGTGATAAAAGGTTTTTTATTTTTTTTATTTTTAATTCAGTCTAAAATACGTTGTCAACATAAAGGTAAAAACAGATTGTTTTTGTCTACCAGTGTAACCATATACTGACCTACTATCGAAAATATGGACCTAACAAACATCAGTTTACGCGTTACCTCATAGTAGGGCTGTACCCGAATATCGTTTGTTGAGTACCCCTATAGCCTGCGACTACAGGTTTCAAATTTCGTTATTCGGATATTCGTTTTTAGTTTATTTTATTGAAACTCCAATATCAAGTAGAGTAGTGCTGTGCCTCATCTCGGGGGGCTAACACGTTAGACCATAACGTTATCGCATTAAACTTTCCCGTCTTTTTATGGAGATATTACTTTTTTCTCGTTATCTCCGTCACGTTTTCCATAGCAACAACAGACTCTGGTCAACAGCCTGCTACCTCTCCTTCAAAATAAAAGATGCCATAGAAAAAGGAAGCAAAGCAAATACACTTCAAAGACATATACAATGCAACGAAGAGTAACAAACACAATGCGATATCCTTTTCAATTTCAGAGAACACCAAATTGGGTTTATTGTACATTAACAAAATAACTATAAAACAAGGGTTAATTGGTTTGAGAGGTGGGAGGACCACAAAAAACAGGGGGTTCCTCCGCAATTAAAATTTTCCGATTGTGAATTTAAGAGAAGTTTATGGATACAGCTCTCAACACTCATGGAAACAGAACGTTACATAGCTATTTTCAGATAATTAAAAAAACATTAGGAATATGCTCGACAACAATAACAATATCATTGAGTAAACTCCCCCTCTCCTATTTTTATCTTACTAGTCTGCATTCTTTCCTTTTAGTAATGCATATTTGACTAATCACTTCCCCCTTTAAACTGTGTTTTTATTTTTTTACCTGACTATAGTACATTGGGATGATTTCTTACTTGTGTTTTAACAACTAGGGTGCCTATATTAAAAGTAGATGGAGATATTTGTTTGTCATGTATGGGAACTTTCCTTTGAGACCCCACTGAGATAAACTTAGGTAAAGTT